GATGAGGGAGGACACCATATTTGCCTGCTGCTCAGAGCTGAACCTGTTATACAACTGTCCTGGTTTAGTGGGACAGAATTTGAGAGTCAGTTTTCTGTTGAGGAAAAATGCAGTTTTATAAGGACTACAACACTCTATGGGAAAAAAGTTGATATAAACTTTGTTACAGGTTTCAGCTAGTACTGGTGTGCAGGTTCCTACAGTGCTCAAGGTCTTCAAGGTCTTGAGATAATAAAGTTGCAGAGGCTGGGAGGAGTGGAAACCTAGGGGAATCAACCCCAAGGTGACCCTAGGCTGGCCAATTAATACTATTCATACCATCAACGTCACATTCACTAAACTGAGGAGTTTGCTGGGGGTGGCTCTTCTTCCTCCTCTCCCTCCTGCTCCCTCTTCTGTGGCTGACATTTCAATAGGAACTTGTTTACTGTCCTAACCCTGAGGCCTACCTCCCCACCCCGTATTGTTTGAGTGTAACTTTGTGTATAACTATTATAACTGTTATTAATATTAGGGGTTTTTTTATTATTATTTTATTAAATATATATTTCAACCCACAAATCTCCTTTCTTTGTCCTGACTCACCTCCCTGGATGTGGAGAAGGCATTGGATGATAGAGCAACTGTATAAATCACGACAACAGCAGGGAGCACAAGCTTCTTGAGACAACACAAAGAGCCTTGTTAAGACCCACAGGCAGGGCATAGAGTTCTGAGTTCCAGCTCCTGCATCCTCAAACTGTGTGTACATTTTACAGTAAACAGACCATGGATAATAACCTGAAATAATTCCCAGCCATGACTGCATTTTGTAACTATTCCAGGTTGGCTGATTTACCATTATCAGGCTCTTTCACAGCATCTAAGCCCTCAGGTTTTGGATTGCAGTGTTGTTAAGGGAGGCGTTGGATGTCTGACTGCTGGGACTGGATTCCTTTGATCGTGTGCAGAAGGTGGCCGTGACAAGAACGGTCAGGGCAGGTGGGTAGGCACCGTGGTCCAGAGTTAGATGATGGAAATTGGAGGTTCTTTGAACAGCAGTCTCCCAAAGCACAAGACTTAGATGTAAACTGGGGTGAGGAGGCTTAAGTACCCAGGCGTCTGTTTAGAAAGGCACTCAGGAGTAGAGACTGTCCAGCAGGCCCTTAGAATGAGTTAGCGAGCGGTGTTTTTCATGCCGGAGGTCAAGGGCTTGATTATGGGAGGCAGTTTGGGTGAATGGCTATGAATTAATGGTGTTTATAAGAAGTGGGAGAGAGCACAGTAAAACAAAACTAGTAGCCTTCATAAAAAGGAAAGAGTTCATTTCGTTGGTGAAGCTATACAGAGGGCTCAGAGGCAAAGTTTCCCACCTTGCAAAGACAGGGAATATAAATTGCAAGCTCTTTATTGACCTCAAATGCAAGAAAGAACCAATCAGAAAGTGGGAACTGGGTCAAATACTAAAGACAAGTGTAAGTGAATGTAGCACAGGGATGTAGGTACAGAATTAGAAAGGTCAAGACACAAAATGAGATGCAACTAGCAAGAGAAATTGAGAGCTATAGTAAATAATTTTTAGGATGTCAAAGTCTTTGCTTCACTTTCCCAAAAGGAACTACCATGGTAGCTGACTTGGTATAAAATGCTTCTTGACTAAAAATAATGTAAATGTAATGTAATGACTTCTGTGTCATCCTTAAGCGAAAGTTGATACTGTGGCCTCTTCTTTGTGTCAGCTGGCATTTATCCCACACCAGAGTCTTGAATTTTCTACTTGCATTTTGGCCTGACTATTGCTAACCATGGTTATTTGTGATGCTGTCCCTGCCTGCGTTACATTTTTTGTATCTGACATGCGATGTGCCTCCCAGAGGAGGTCTTTTAATCTCATCTTTCTTCACCATCAGCCTATGTAGTCAGTGCACAAAGAACCTACTGAGCTACTCCTTCCCCCAGCATCAGTAGGATTTTCCAATGTAAATCTCTCATCTATCAATGGGTTAAATGTTTAAAATGCAACTCACTGAGTGGATTGAAGAGCTCAGCCATGGGTAATGAGATATATTACCTTTCACTGCAGGAATGGTAGTTCTGACCCGTCCAGGATGCTAGTGACTGGGAGTTACTATTTGGACTGCATCAACTGAGTTCAGTTACTAACTCGTGTCAAGAATTACTCTCTGGGCAGGATGGAGAGAGAGTGAATGGAGTGAGCTACGCAAGCAGTGCCTTCCCATTTCAGGGAATAGAAAGATATGCATCCAGTTTTAACCTGGACAGATTTTAAGATGTTTGATAGAAATAAATTGTGGTGCAGTGAGATTTCTTGTTTTGTCCTTTTAAAGAAAAGGGATGATGTTTACTGGGGGATGCAGAGAAAAAATGTAATATTGTCTTTATTATTTGTAATTTTCTTCAAATGTAAATAGTGTTTGCAGTAATATTTATAACTTGCTCAGTTCTGCACCTCAGATGACATGGCCCAGGGCACTGATTGGTGTCATCTTCTGGGCACAGTTGTGGTGGCTACAGCTGTCTCTCCCCTCTGCTGCAGGTCGCTCTGTATGGAGAGGGGCAGGACTGGTCTGGATGTGGGTTTTGTTCTGTTTTCAAAACTTTTCATTTTTTCTTTTTAAGGGACAGTTTCCTTTTGTTTTTAAGCATTTAAAAGCCTTTTTTGCATATATCTGTCACAGTACTCAGCACAACCAACATTGTTTTCTTTGAAAGTGTGTAGCTCCTATTACAGAGCTGATGTGTTTGGACCCCCTTGAGAAGGGAGCCACTTGGAAAAATGAGTCATGGTTTATTTCCAGACCTTGAAGTGATGGAGATGTGATTTTTCTTCCCTCTGAATTTTTGAAACCATTTGTCAGAGAAGATGAGCTTCAGCCTTGGTTAAAAAGAAGCAATCATGTGGCAAAATGGTTTTGCAGTTCAAGTAAGGACCAGAGAAACTATGACCAATATGAAAGGTCAAGTATGCTGTTCTCTACCTTTTTAATTTTTCTTTTTAAATTCAGTCATTCTTTTACTTCTTCCTGGAAGTAGTTGGTAATGCAGAGTTTGATGATGTATAGTGTCCTAAAATAAACTTCTGCATTTGGAAATTACATCTGTTAAGTAGAGCAGTTAGTGATTATGTATTTGGTTGCTTTTAAGATAACTCAAATGTTTTTCTGTAAGGCTGTTAGCAAGGTTATAATTGTTCTTATCGCCCTTTGTCTTTTTTTTTCTTTTGCAAGAAAACATTACCAAGCAAAATTAATAGCAGAAACTAGCACTTACTCATAACCTAATACAGTATACAAGGTATCATGATGGTTTTGAGCAAAAGAGAATCTCAGTCTCTTTCCTGTGCTGGTAATTAACTTTCCTGCTTTGGTTGAGGTCTTGTTTCACATGATAGTTTTCTCATCTGCATATGTTATTATAATAGAAATAATACTTAAGATTTTTCAGACAAAAGATGATGACTAAATTATCATTATTACTGGATTTCTTGGCTGCTTAATACTAGGTTCAGGGACGTTAGTACTTACGTGAATGGAAGTGGACTTCAGTGCAGCAGTACTGAATACGCATATGAACAGCTGGCGTAGCAGGAGGTAATTGCATGTATATATGGCAGCTAAATACCTGTTTAGATTTATTCCCATTTCACTGAAGTTGTTGTTAGCGTTCGTCAGCAGAGGTCAGTGTCTTCCTTGCCTAAGTTAACAGGAGGACTGGTTCCTGTGTGACCTAGTCTAGGTGATCCTGCTCTGGCAGGGTGGTTGGACTGGATGATCGTTCCAGGTCCCTTCCAACTCCTAAGATTCTGTGATTCTGTGACTTTTTTGGTAGCATTCTGTACCTTTGCTGAGGAGGCAGTGACAGAAACCTTCTAGCTGTGGGCCAGGTTTGCACATGTTTGGACTGGTTGTAATAAACTTGTTAGAACCGTGATTCATCATCTTGATAATTAGCAGAATCCAGGTATGGTGAAGTAAGTATTTTTAACTTCCAGTGCTTTTCAGAAAGGAAGACATGAACAACACCTGCTAATGAAGGGTTATTTCAGAGTTCTTCTTATTCAAAATTAGGTTGTTATTTTGCCATACAATCAATGGTAATGGGTTTGTATATTATTCATCAACAAGACAGCTACATATCTTCCAGTGGTATGCTGTTAATGTGCCAAGCAAATGGCATGGTTGGTTGGTTCTTTCTCTCATTCTCTCAGGAGAGGATACAGGGTTTTGTGGTGCAGTGTTTTGTTCTGATGGATGTAGAGATGGGTGTGCACCCTGCACTCATTGGTACAACAAAGGCAAGAGTGAAGCATATTTTGCCCTTGGAGTGAAAAGTGGTGACATCTGTGGGAGGCCTTGTCACAGTCTTGTGCCTGTCTCAGGAAAGCTGTACCAGCTGCACATGGCAGCCTGCCCGTCACCACAGGCAGCTGCACCTCACCAGGAAACAGAGCTGTGCGCTTTAGGTGACCTCCTAAGCAGCTTGGATGAGGCAGTTTGAAGGCACAGAGAATGACCTAACAGAGGACGCTTGCATTGATGTGCTTCGGGCCTATGCGTAGTACTGTGAAGTTTTTTGTGAAACATTTCCGGTGCCAGCTCTGCTAGAGTCATAGCCAGAGTGCTTCATGTTTGATACCAGAAGGTCAATGCTTTCTCTTTAAAAGAAATATTTGTAAATATTTTGCTAGCTTGCAAGTCTTTGTTTTATTGTTTTTTTTGTTGATCACCCTCACCAGAAAATATTTTCCAAATCAAAACTCCTATTTTTTGATTTTTCTTGTTCATTTCTTGTTGAGTTTGGTAGGCTTTTTTGTTTGTTTATTTGTTGGTTGGTTGGTTTTGTTTTTCATTTTTTCAGTATTTTCCCTTGTTTCTACCTTTTCCTACCCGCAGAGACTGACAGTGGCTCTCTCATGCTTCCCAGTTCTCACTTCTACCCTGATTAACTTTGAGTCTGGTTGGAAAAAGATATTTTATTCTTCCATTTCTGTTCTGTTGCAGATTTTGACTTGAACTATTTTTGGCATTGGAGCAAGTTTACAGACTACGTGCAGTGTGTCCTGACCTTCACTGGCGTGACCGGTTACATCACTTACCTCTGGCTGGACTCATCTTTCTTTGTGGAAACACTGGGCTTCCTCGCAGTGTTCACTGAGGCTATGTTGGGTGTTCCCCAGCTCTACCGCAACTACCAGAATATGTCTACAGAAGGAATGAGGTACGGTGTTTGTCATATGGAAAACAAGCGTGCGCATGTGCGTGTAGGTAAATCTTTGTGTAGCATGGGAATGCTTCTCTAGGCAGGGCAATGTCACCTTTCTAAATTGTACCTCCGAATACAGCAGCTGCTGGAGTGGGATTCTCTGTCAGCAGGAGCTGGTGCAGCACTGCTGAAGGCCGTGGGAGCTCTGTTACACCTCTGAGGTCTGACCCGTTGTCCAAGTCCAGCTGGGCAGTTCCAAGGTGAAACGCATTTTAGTATAATAAACATGTAAAACTACTGCTGTAACCATTAGCAACATACTGTGGTTCCAGTCAAACTGTGTTACACTGGTAATTAGAAATGGATTAAAGAGATCTTGCATATCAAAAGTAATAAAGATGAAGAAAATATTTTGAGCCTGCAGCAAATAACTGTCCGTGTAACTCACATATTAGCTCATCACTTTTTCTCACATATCTACTTGTCACTTTTTCGTAATATATTTTATATGTAGCAAATGACATCAGTATTTTTTTGTGTGTAAAAGTTTGTCACTGACATTTTAAAAAGCTCAAGCAAGACCTCTATGGTTGTGACTGGGAAACCCTCTGTAAGCAAGTGTAGGACAGAAAACTTGTGCCCACTGCTGGGGCATTAACCTAGATTGTCTTTTCATGCTGTTTACTGGCTATCTCAGTCGTAACACCAAAATTTCCAAATTGCAAAGGCAACTTGTAAAGCTTAAGGAGAGAGAAAATGTTCACTGTGGTGCACCAGTGTACTGGTCTGTAGAAACAGTACAGCAGCAAATTCAGTTCACAGAGTGCTGTGGTCATTTGTGAGTCTGTCTTCTCCATCATGTTTTTGAAGTGACTTCTCTTTCATTGCTTTTAAACTTTTTACTTTAGTGAAAACAAATAACCACTCCCCACCACCCCAAACCAAAGCAATTCTGTCCTTTGTTGACATTGTTCTCTTTACTTATTTGGCTTGGAGACACTTCTGCTAGCTACTTGAAGTTCTCTTCTACCGTGAAATGTTGTTGAGGGAATGTTCAGAAATTTGCTTTCATGCTTAAGGCATTTTTTGATTGGGTGCCTCTTTGGTACAGAGCGAGTCAGGATTTACTTCCAAAATACTGGGATATTTTTCATGCGTACGCTACCTTGGAAAATACTGTACCTGTGAGATCCAGAAGGCAGTTTACCTGCTAGACCTTCCTTATGCTCTGGTTTGACTTTTCACAGAATCACAGAATCACAGAATGTTAGGGATTGGAAGGGACCTCTAAAGATCATCCAGTCCAATCCCCCTGCCGGAGCAGGAACACCTAGATGAGGTTACACAGGAAGGCGTCCAGGCGGGTTTTGAATGTCTCCAGTGAAGGAGACTCCACAACCTCTCTGGGCAGCCTGTGCCAGTGCTCTGTCACCCTCACTGAGAAGAAGTTTCTTCTCAAATTTCAGTGGAACCTCCTGTGTTCCAGCTTGTGTCCGTTAAACGTAACGTTTTCCCGTTACGTTTTTTATCTGTGAATCATAATGCCACATTATGATAGCCCCTGCCAGATAATGTTTTGCTTTTTCTTAGCTGGGACCTCTGGGAACCAGAGTTTCAGTTTTCCAATTTCCTGTACATGCTATTTAGCAAAAGGAGAAAAAAGCCCTTTGTGCTTCACAACAGCATTTTCTTTGTAAAGCATTAAGCACAGAATTGCAGAATTCTCATCTAAAACTGCTTGGCAAGAGCCTCCTATGTTTAGGCAAGAGACAGTACCTTAAGAGCTCTCATTCCCTTGCCATCAATCAGAACCAGGTCTAGTGATAGCCACCCTCCTTATCGGCTGTGCCCACAGGTTTTCCAGAATGGATTCCCCTCTCTGGTTCTACTCTTCAGGTGGTACTTCATGTGGCATTGGACATGGATGGGTCTGGAGACTGATGAGACGATATACAGCTTATGCTGCTTATGCAGTTGGAGTGTGTTAATGCAAATGCACGCATTAGTACTCTTTTCAGGTTATATTTCAGCTTTATATATGTTGCAGGTACCACGTACACTGTCAAGCACGGTGCAATCCTGAGTTGACTTGATGGCCTCTAAGCATTACTGGGCTGTTCCTACTGTGAGAGTGACTTCTGCGAGTGTATTACCTTCTGTTGAAGGAGCTGTTGGAAATATTTCCTCTGAACTTCCCTTCCTTTTCCTGCTTCTCTGTCTAAAAACACATCAGAGAAGAGACCCCAGTCCTGGAAGCACTGATGGGAGCACGTAACAGTCCAGCCAGGCTACTCATAGGACTGAGGTTACGAACTTGCGTGGGCATTTACCCGATGGGGGCTAGTTGATGTCCATTGCACTGTGCAGTTATTTGCTTCTCTGTGCAGAAGTAACGTGCATGTGAAACACTGTCAGAAGCAATTGTGCTGGTGATCAGCCCATCAGCTGGGCCGTAGTGGCTGGCTGCCAGACATGCTCTTAGCAAGCCTCAGTGGCAAAGTAAAATAGATGAGTTTCAAGTGTCTTTGTGACTTTAAGCTTAATGAGGAGAGCAATGAGAATTAAGCTGTTCTACTTAGTGACCTTCACATCCAGGCTGGGGGCAGTAACTTAAACCACAGTAGTTCCATCACCTGTGGTGCATGTGTGGAGCCCATGTCCCTGATGAACATCACAGCCTTTACTACTGCTAGAGAAGGGGTTGTTTGGAGGCTCTCATGGCTCAGCTGAGAAAAGCAGCAACATGGATCTGTCTCTGAACTGGAGCAGAATGGGACAGAGCAACTGATATATTAAGTCTATTTCTACTTTAGCGAATAATTTGCTTCCTAAATGTAAACGAAAAAGCTAGAAATAGAGAATAAGGTTACAGTATGTGGCCACATCTGATCAGGGTATCCTGCCAGACTCCTCAGACAGTGGATGAGGCCCTCTGAGGGCCTCATCCACTCGGTCTTCCTGGTGGGGTGGCCTGTAGCAGACCCTCACTGTAATGTCACCTCCCTTTAATCCTGACCCATACGCTCTTGGTCAGCTCCTCATCCATCCCCAGGTGGAGCTCCATGCACTCCAGCTGGTCAGTGACATAGAGGGCAACACCCCCTCCTAGTGTCCCTTGTCTGTCCTCCCTAAAGAGCCTGGATCCTTCCAGTCCAACACTCCAGACATAGCCATCCCACCATGTCTCTGTGATGCCTGCAGGGGTGTGCTGTATCTGACTCCTCTTGTTTATTCCCCATGCATGCAGGCACTTAAGTTGGGCCTCTCATGAAGCTGACTTACTGGCTGGAGTGGCTGGAATTCCTTTGTGCTGCTCTTCAGGTGCTCTCCTGCTGACATGTGGTCTTTTTCCAGGCTCTAGGCATTTATTGCTGACTGGCATCAAACTGGTAGGAGTGGGATGGGTTGAGGTTCCCTTCCCCTGGAAACTTTAGAATAAAGCCCTCTTCACTAGCTTAGCAAGCCTGTGACCAAAGATGCTCTTCCACTTCTTCAACAGATGGACCCTATCAGTTCCCGTCTCATGCTTGAGGTAGCTGTCACTTCCTGATAAACAAACTTGGAGACCAGAGGCCATGAGGGAAGTAAATGGGACAGGTGGCTGTGATGACAGGCAGGATGCCCTTCAGGAGTCTGTTGTGCAAAGGGTGCCATCACCTCCATCTCTGTATTTCAATCTGCCACTGCCTGAAAAGTCCCCTACTGAAAATGTGCTCAGTGTCTGAGGCAATCGTCCAGAGAACATCTGCAGCTGAGTCAGTTATGTTTATTGTAACAGGGCATGGCTGGAGGGAAGGAATCACAGTTATGTGTGTTGTAGTGCTCCTGAGAATGAGTCTTCCAGTGCTTTGATATCTCTGTTCTGCTGGATAGACCTCACTTGTCTTAATATCTCCCTACTTCTCTCATTTTCCTTCTTTTTGTAGCAGCATCACTATTAGGTCCTGTAGTTTCCTCCTCTGTTCTGGGAGAGCAGAGACCCAAGGAGAAGTTGCAAAGAGATGGAAACAACAAAAGCAGAAAGGAGATGCATGCTGAGTAACAGCTTTTGTGGAGGGAAGACAGTGTTAGTATGTCCTGCTGAGCTGATGATTGAAGGGTGGGAATTTTCCCATGATTAAGTAAACAGAACTGAGCCATTCAAAGGAACAGAAATTTTCATGATGTTTGCTCTGACAATTAATCTGCTTACTTTGGGAATTAATACTTTATAGAAGCTCAGAGCTCTGTTCCGGCATCTAAGTACTTTTGAATAGTTGCAAACCTAAACAGCACAGTCATAGATCTATTAATTATGGTACTAACCTTGACAGAAGTGCTTTTTTATTGAATTGTGTTAATACTGATCAAGGAAATAATCAATTTAATGTCTGTTCAATTCAAGAACTAAACTAGTTCCATCTAGTCACCTGGTAAAAGAGTAATTTAATGACATTAATTGTTACTGAGATGGATTAGAATCATAAGTATGATTATGTTTGCATCAGTTAGAAAAATGAGGAAAGCAACTTCAAAATTTAAGAACTTTGGAATGCAGAAGGCATCCTGTTATATGGGGAAAAAAGGCATTATGAGGTTAAAAGATTGCTCATCACTTATAATTTTTTTTTTATTATTTTATGGTAAAATATTTCAAGATCTTGACATCAAAAACACCCCCAGCTCCCCCATCTTCCAGCAGGTGGAGATGCTAACTGTGCTACATTGGGATCTGATGCCCCTCATGTTACCAACTGCTTTTGCTTTGTGACAAAAAACATACAGACAAGAACTTCCTCTGTCATTTATCTTTGAGTCCCCACTCCTAAGATACTTTTCTCCCAGTTGCTTTCCCCTTCTGTTAACCTGCAATCATGAGAAAAGGTAGTGTTCAACGTGAAGTAGTGGAGATGGAGGGAAGTTTGGCTGCTGCACACAGGTAGAGACCTGCTGGTCACTTCATTGGGAGAATTGCATCCTTGTGGGGACAACAGCTTTTGTGGACCTCCTGCAGGGGGGAAGCGTGTGCTTTTGTG